ACCCCTGAGTGTATGGGGGGGCTTTACACCACTGGGTTACTACGATGCCCCACTATGTATGGTTTTTGTTTGTTTTTGTTATAATAAATGTTCAATTCAAATAGTGCTCATGAAACATCAATAATAACTTAACATAATAACTTAGTAATAACATTTGTCAGACAATTTTGCTAAACATAATCACAAAGAGAGTCTGTTAAAAGTGTGTCTTTAGCTTAAAATTAAACAGTAGTTCACAGTAAATCTAGATTTAGGAATTGCAAGAAGCAATTCAGCCTTTTTCTGCTAAGTGTGCACAGTCGTACATATCTGCTTATTAGGTTTAGTTTGGAGACGATCCATTTCATGCCTTATAGGTGATAAATAGAATTTTGAGCTGTATTCTTGAAGCAATTAGAAGTGAATGAAAGGGATAAAGTATTATCTTCTCTTAGTCAAAAGTGTTTGCAGCTTAATTTCATCTTTTTTTTTGCCCAAGTGCTAAATATAGAGTAACAATGATCAAGAAATGGAAGCATAAAAATCTTTCTCTGGGTCAGCGGCAGACAAAAACTGTTTGATTTTAGGGACTGATAAGAAACAACTGAATAACTCCTTGTACGTGGTTGTCAAAGCCCAGATTGTGGAGACCTGTGGATGCCTAAATAACAGTCAGTATGTCCATTGAAATGTTTACAGATACGTTGCCTGTCAGGGTGGTACATGAGTGTCATGTGACAAATATTAAATCTGTTCCTAAATGTAAGAAGTCTACTTGTATGGATTTGACTGATACACTATTGATTGGTTTCTCTTTTATTCCATATTCTTTATTCGATATCTATTGTAAATCATCCTTAGTTTAAGGCTGAAACTAAGGGGTCAGAGAATTCCTCCCTGAGAAACCTGCCCTTTAAATTTCACTATGAAAACAACGTTATCTGCTCATTATTGTAATGTCATTCAGCCGCCTCGACAGCCGCTTCGCTTTTTCTTCCCTCCACATATTTCTGAAATGTTGTTCTGCAGGTGCTGATGGTGCTAGAGATCTACAAAAACTAAATGTCATGCCTCTGTGTGCATGTTCAGTATGCTGTTTTCCTTGTGAGATGTCAGTCTCTGCAGTCCACTTAATATAAGCCGCATGCTGAAGCATAAATGCCAGATACACAAGCTGCTGCCTGCTTTCAGACTGCTGCTTATCGTCTCATCAGGCGCTTTTTATAATAGCATTATCTCATGCTTTGATGTAATTAGGATGCCACAGGTACCCGAGGGATTTTAGGTCCAGTTTCATGTACCTAATGAATATTTATATACAGTATTACCATTTCTGGCAGCTAGCTTCCCCGTCTTGATTAATTCTTTGCCTCGTGAGTCCCTTGGCGTTAGTTTCCATGCTGGTTGTGACATAAATAAATAAAAAGGCTTTTCAATCAATCTTGTGACATTATGTGTTGACTTTTTGGAAATCATCAACGATCAAGTATCATGACCTTGTTTGGTTGAGAAAAATGATATGGTACACATGGTAAATAATAATAATGTACATTTCCACAACACCAATTCCATCAGTACAACACTTTATTAAAGTCATACTCACCACTCTGTTGGTTAGTTTATCTTTTTAACAGAAATACTGCTCTTATTTGAGTTTGGAAGTCCATCCTCGACTTTGGGATAATGGAATTAAAATCAAACTTACCAGAAAAATCAACACTTGAACGAACATCAGAGCGATAAGACCGACCTGAAATGACAGAACTGAACCGAACAGCCTTCCAGCAGTTCTAAGGGCATATTCACTCACTCTCTTGGTAGGCTTTTATTGTGAAACATTGGCAGAAAGTGTTTCATTCACAGTGGTTTAACACAGAATGAAAAAAACATAGCTGGAATTAATTGTCTGCCATGTTGTTCTAATGGAATAACTGCTGTGGGACTTGTATGGTAAAAGAAGGGGCTCAACAGTGCCTCCCTGTCACCCATTTTGTCTTCAGCAGAAGACGTTGAGTGCATCAGGGACAAGCTTACAGCAGACTTTGCCCCCGCTCAGACGCTCGGTGTGACAGCCGTCAGCTGATGGCTTTGTCTGGCGTGCGTTTGACAGCGATCTGATGTGACAGCAGTCGTCAGAGGACTCGGTTTGCTCAGTGGTTTTCATTCAAACTGGCATCACGTTGTCACCGAAGACTCTATTCACCTGTTGGGGGGCGACAGTGTAGCTGTGTGTGTGTGTGTGCGCGCTGGTGGTTATCGATTGCTAGCCTTCCCTCCAATTCCACTTTCTCTGTCTGGAAACACAACTGACCCCGACACCCAATCACAGTCTGTCGCTAGCCGTCTGTCAGCTGCATCACTCGGTGTCGTCCAGGATAACTACTGGAAAACCCAACTCGTCTGCCAGCGCTTCCAGAAGAATATTGGCAGCATGTCTATACAAATCCTTCTGAACGTACAGCGGGGAATTTAAGCTTTTTATGCAGAGTGACATTTAGGATTTTCGTATTTCTTTCTTCTCTGTCTCACAGCAGCTGTGTGGGTTGTAGCATTGAAAGGCTATGTAATCTCATTTTTGTAACACTGTGCATGGTCTGAGATGTCTGTAATCAAATGGACAGGCATGCCATAAAATGTTTTTCTAGTTGCTGTCCTCTTGATGGAGGTGTGGGCTTCTCCAAGGAGAATTTCATATTGTGGTTTGACCAATATGATTCTGGATAAGGGTTTGCATATGTTTTAGTTTGTACAAAAGTAAAAATTTTCAAAAATAATACTGTGTGCCCTGATTCTTAAGATTAGGGTTTACGATGCACCGGTGTCATTTGCATATATTGGTACCAATGCTGACTTTATTGAGCATATCAAGTGTTGACCTGGCGTAACAACAACATTAAATTCAGTGTTTTCATCTCTGTTACTGTAATATTTCATCTACTAGTTACATTTATTCAGCCATTGTGAGACAGTTTTTGTGCCACAGCAATCCCTGCCCTCACATTACTGTAAAGGAAAATGATTCCAAGAGTGAGATCCATTGATAGGTACTCTGTATCATCAGGGCCCAGTATTTCAAAACCCTTAGTCTAGATCAGAGGTCGCCAGATAGGATTCAATCTCAAAATGTAATCCAGATTTCAGATCAGTTGTTGTTTTTGGTTATTTCAAAAAGGTCGAGATCAGGATAATTTTGATGCTAGAAATCAGGATGATCCCTATCCCACTGGAAGGGTGGCTCCCTTAGTTTCATGGTATCCACCTGCTGCTTGTTTACCAGCTGAGTGATTCATACAGGTGTAGATATACAGTCTATATGCAGTCTACAGACCGCTATGTCTTCCTCCACTACCCCAACCGCTTCATGTGCTAGGCTTATACTGTTCACTTAAATCAGATCTAATGTTTCTGTATCAAAGGGACTTGTTCTCCTGGCAAAATTTGCTGATTCTTTCCTCAAATAATACCTTTTTTTTTTTTTTTTGCCAAATCTAACTAGAACCATTTGCGATAAATAGTGAGTTCCTTCAAGGTATTTCAGGCTGCTAACTGCACTTCACTGTCTGTCAATAAAGCACAGCACAAACCAACCTTTTGCTGCCGTACACAAACGACCTTCCTGCTGCGATTCGCGCCGCCGTTGCTCGAGCTTTTCTGCAGTCCCAACACACATCAATTCACAGCCAATGCATTCTTGATTAGGCGTGGACACGGTAATTGTTTTCATTGCCTCGGATTGGAACGACATTGAATTTAATGTGGTCCATCGATCTTTTGTTGGGGGGAAATTGGGTTTGTTACCAGCGTTGTAGATCTCTCATAGCCCACGTGTTAACCTTTTACACTCTCTCTCCCTCACCACATTTGTCTCCCCAGTCTCACTCTATCTCTATCTAGACCCATCCTCCCTTCTTTATTCTCCTGTCTCACTCTCCCACCCTTTGACTTTTAGTCTCTCCCTCTTTCTACCTCCCTCAGTCTGTCTCCAGTTTAGTTTTTACTCCCTCGCATTCCTCCGCCACTCCTTCTTTTTCCAATTCCACTCCCTTAATTTGCTTTCAATTTAAAACCTCAATTAGTATGATTGCTCATCAGAAACAACATTGCCAAGATAGTTTACCACTGACAAACTGCGGAAAGGTGTAACCAGCAAATATTTGGTATTTTTACTGAATATATGAAGTATCAATATTTCTGTTCAGTGATTTTTTTGTCTGTCTGTTTATTGATTTACTTAAAGGATTCATATCATATTCATTATAATGGAGCATAAAAAAGGTGCTTTTACTTGTTCTAATGTCTGAACCTCCACAAACCTTTCAGGTCTCTGTTTGGTCTGGAAAAACAGGACTTTCTTTCTATGTGGTGCTCACAAATGTAAATTTCACTGAAAAAATATTAAAATCATGGTAATTGTTTTGGGTCTGTTCCAAAGAAACACTACAGTACTTCATTATAATGCAGTTTTTTCACACATTTTACCTTTATCAATAAATTGTAGGATATTACACTTGTATCGCCATATTGCCTGTGTTAAACCACAAAAAAGCTGAGGCACCTTGTAGAAGCTTCTTCTAGTCTCTTAATTTAAGGACCCCTGGTTAGTTTACATTCAGTGTTTCTCACCAAAATTTGGTGCGAGTATCCTTGATTTGATTGATTTCCTTCCTCATAAAGCATTTGCAAAGCAAATTTTTGGCCCTGCGTTATTAAAGCTGCACTAATCAATATTTTTAGAATACTGAGAATGGTCATAATTTACATAATCTAACCATGATGAATGGAATCTGCAATAGAAATGGGTTTATGGTCCGTATGGGTGACATTGACTCGCTAATTTATTACTTTTTTATATGTATATTTTAGTTTAGTTTAGGTTTTCTGTATCAAAACTTAAATAGGCAGCTCAAATCTTTGCACACAATTCCAGTGTCTATAATAATGTAAAATTGAGACCACATATTGGCTGGTGCAAATTGGACATTATACTAACATTTTTTTTTTGTCTTTGTCTTTCCCTGCAGTCTGAGTGTAGAGCCAGTCCCAAGGAAAGCTCCGAGCCGGCTGTGGACCTGCTGGGCCTTGGTAAGACACGACCAACCTTCTACCAACTTACAATATAATAACCCTCGGACAATATAATAAGTTGTCAAACTCTATTCAGATGCCTCCCTAACGTGTCAGATATGCAAATGAAACCAATTATGCTGTATGATGTAATAACATTTTCAGACTGATATTGTAATAATTGCAGGTTCAACAATGTGTGACATTATGAGGGGAAAGGTTTAATGCTGTCAGGCTTTATTTGAGTACAGAGACCTTATTATTATACTGTCTGGCAGTTCATTGGTGGCTTCAGACCTCCATGTCTGCACGCTACAGTTAAATCCACCAACAGTCCATGCATACACTTGACTGTCTAATTATGATTCAATGGTTGTTCCAAACAGGGTAAGTAACGGATGTTGTTCTTTGGGGAAATTGGGCAATATCAGTTAATATTATTGCTGAACATTGTTAGAAAATTATATTTTAGACCTCATATTACTCTCTTGGAACAGTCCAGTAAAGCTTTACAGGATCATTTTGAGAAATCTTATCTGTAACTGGTTTAGTCCTTAATGTAAAGGTCCAGTGTGTAGGATTCATTGGCCTCTAGTAGTGTAGAAGCATGTAGTGATGTAGAAACTACGGTGCCCACGAAACATGGAGAAAACGGTCTTGTCTAGAGCCAGTGTGTGGTTTGTTTCTCCTGGGCTACTCTAGAAAACTCTCCTGTTAGTTTTATTGCACTTGTTGGGGCAGGATAATTTACTGTCGCTTCTATGATTGTTATCAATACATAGTTTGGTGATGTCAGTATGCTCTCCAGAAGTTTATTTTCTTTATTAAAGCTGTGAGAGCTCGTATCACGTAGTAAATTCGCCTCCCAGCTTTACTGCTGAGGTGGTGATTAAGGGGCGTCGCATCGGCGAACATATCTGCATTTGTTGGACTGACCAGTTGGAACACTCTAACATATCACCCAACACTAGTGTACGGTCATATATTGCTAGAAACATCTGATGGGCCAGTGTCAACCTCATGGCGGGCTAACTTTGGCCCGCGAGCCCCACTTTGGGTTGAGAGGGAGAACTGATCACATGTTTTTTACCTCCTGCGTGCATTTTAAAGGCCTAATTGAAGAACACAATATCAGAATAACTGTTGAAGATTGAATGCACCGAGGATATGACATTCAACAAAGGTCACAAGCTGGATTCAAACCTGTGACATTTTGAGTACACAGTATGTGTCTTGGCCCGTTAACCGCCTAGAGATTCTGCTCCGCGCTCGTTGACCTGAACAGTAAAAACTGGTTTGGTTTTTCCACAATGAATTTATAATATGCAATCACCCTGCGTTTCCCCACAACAATAGGGTATTGTGTCAGCCCTCGCTGAGGGGGGGGGCAGCGCTGACAGAGGGAAGAGCCAGTGGATGCCGCATTGATCAAACGATCCCGACCGCAGCGTGGAAGAGTGAGAGTGGACGCCCTGCTATAAATAACCAATGCTCCACACCTTGCAGCCACGTCGAGTGGATGAGATTTCACACATAATCAATAAGTCAGATACGTGGCAGTATGCCTTCGGCACTCACACATCCCCCCCGTTACTCCAGCCATCCCTCCATGTCTCCACTTACCTCGCTCTAACTCTGCAGCTGTCAGAGAAACACTTTCTACCTTTGCTTCTGTATCTGTGTTTCTGTCAGCACCTCTGTTCAGGTTCAGTCAGTTTAGCAGCAATAAAAACCACATTGTGAGACCGTCCAGACAAACATTTTTACACTCGTTTCCATCCTTGTTTTTCTACTCAGTTAGGCCAATATTTATTAAATATCTAATATCATTTAAAAAAAGGCCTCTTTCATGTATTTATTTCAGGTTTTGTTGGATAGCTTTTGTGTCCTGTGATGATGAATGCTGTCTCAGAGATGTTCCATCCTGCCAAAAATAGATCTCTTCAGGAGCCACTGAATCAATTTCAAAAACTTTTATTGATGGAGCACCCCTGTCTGGTTGCTTCAGTCTCTACGTCCCTTTCCCTTCTACCTCGGTCTGTCCCTGCTGTAATGGTCCTGACACGCTGCATTGATACTCGTGTCCAGAGAGGATAAACAGGAAACAGGATTTTTCCTCCATGTTGTCTCCAAGTCTAGCAGCAATGTTTAGCACAAACATTCCTAAGGAATGAGAGGTAAAGCTATTCTGGTTTCACAGGTTTTAATTGGGGGAAAAACAATTTGTATTGTTTCAAGAAGGGATGCAGCGTTTCAGTTTGTTTTTTTGCCGTTTTGCATGATCAGACATATTGATTTCTGGCCAAACGCCTCTGGCATCTTTACCCGAGACCGAGGCAAAAAAGAGCAATATGGGACAAGATGTACAGGACACAGCTGGGTCCTCCAAAACAGAGAAACTCATCAACATGCTCAGAAAATATTATTTATATTATTATTATATTATATATATATATATATATATTATATATATTATATTTCCTTTGTTTTGGCCTTCCACCTACACCAAGGCAGTGTTTCTCTTCAGAGTGGAAACATCTTAAAGTCCGTACTGTAGGTTTTAATGTGAGCCAGGACAGCAGGAGAACAATGATTTAGACCTGATCTGAGTCTGTGTGACACTAATGACTCTTTATTAATGTCAGTGTTGCTGCTCACACCATACAGATCGGATCATCATTTTAAAGGAATTTATCTGGAATAAAGTCGTTTTATTAATTGCACAGAAACTATACCGTCATATCTAGTGGAAAAAACTCTTTTACACAGCATTCATATGGTATTTTCATTTGGCAAAATTGTTTCATTTAATGGTAAAACTTGCATTTAAACTATAAAATATGGAATAAAACACCAATTTTAACCTTAAAACCGAGAGTACTAATATCCTTTTACCATAATAGTAGAAAGGTTCTATCATATTTGTTATGGTAAAGATCTGGCAACCACAGCTGACAGTTTTTTACCATATTGTTTTGTTTTTTTAACACTGCAACCAACCAACAAAGCTGTTTCTTTACTCTCACTCACTCTGAAGCATAGTTGTTTTTTTACCGACCAAAATAAGATAAATAAGAACTGATGAACTCTTTTCTTTTGTTCCGACTAAGATCTTTACAGAAATGACTTGAAAATCAATTATAAACATGGCAAGATAAACATGTTAAAAATCAATAAAAAGTAATTTACTTTCATGGTGTTTTGATTTTATTCCGACTTAATTAAGGAATATGCATCATTTCACCACAACATGAAGTAATATAATAAAGTTATTAGAAATAGAGTTTGATACAAGACCTCACTACAGGACAGAGTCATAAGATGAGGTAATAATGAAGAAGCCTCAGTTGATCATCATATGCAAATTCAAATCACTTGAGAAAATGGCTCAATCAGTTGATACGCAGTGAACCTGTGTGTCTGGGGCTTCTGGCTGCACACTACTGCTACTCAGATTTTTCCATAATCCAACTTTGTGTTAACAAACTTAAAGTGTCCACCATGACTGTCTATTGGCTGATCTTTGCTGGCATGAAACTCTCACTCTTGTTACATAACTGGTCAAATTGGGGAAGTGCAGCCTGTTTTTCTTCTTCTGCACTGACTCATATGTCAACATGTTGTTCATTTATGTGAAGAAAACTAAATACAATTCTTATTTTTAAAGTTTAGATTATTATTATTTAAGATCTGAACTGTGAAGACCTGAACACAAGCTGTATTCACAGAGCCTTCACTGTCGGATAAACAGCCTGGTCCTGCATTAAAACAGTATTAAGCTAAGAGAACAATGGCAAAGCAAATCAAGTACAAGTGTGTATGATTGTTAAAAATAAAGAATAATACATAATACAGGTAGAGAATTGTATAAAAATTTCCAAAAAATAAAAGGAAAACTCATCTTTGATATAATCTGCTTAATCTGCTCATTGTTATGGATTGAATATTATATGAATTATACATACAATATGTTTTAGACACTCAATGATAGAAAGAGGTTGGAAACCGCTGATATAAATGATTACACCTCAGTAGTGTTTTAATTCCTTTATCACCTGTGAACAAACACGCTGTACCAGTCACCGTCCATTTTCAGCTGCTAATGGCGGCGGCCACAAACTGGGCTCATGTTTCTTTCTCTGGACTCCCAGAGTCAAGCTAGCTTCATTTCATGCCCTAGTTGTGACTTGTGTTTTGGGGAAAAAGTGAGTTAAATTAACATGCTTTGGGGTTTAAGGCTGCAGCACTACTTCAAAGACCCAGTGAATTTGATTATTTACAGGATGGGAAGGCACTTCGACCACTGGGACCACATAATCATAGAACATTTCACATGTATTTGTGTGAAATCTAATCAGAATATTGCATTTGAATGAATGCAGAGCTTAACAATGTCAGTCATGGAGTATTTTTTACCCCCCTTGTGGTGGTCAAGTCCTTAATGTGACAGCCCCCCACTGCTGAGTGAGGCTGCTGCATTCACTGAAGATACTGGGAAGCTCTGTATGTATATGTGTGCTAGACTCAGGGGCAAAAGGGGTTCAGGGTGATTATAAAAATGCGCCCCCGGCCTGAAGTATTGGTCTGTTTCCATGGTGAAGTCGAGAGTGCTCTCAAGAAGCTGCTCCATCCCGTGATAAAGAGCGGTGGGCGCACTGCCCGACGTGGCAGCGATGATGATGATGATGGGCCCTTTTCTCCCCGCGGCTCATTTCCATGGCGATGAGTCAATGAGGTTTTTGGTAAGAGAGGAGGGGGGGCATTTGAGTGGTAGGAGGGTAATTGATGCACACGAAATCCTATTTTTCTCTGTTCTGCTTCAATATGTAACAACGTGGCTCACACCTGTGATTCCTGTCAGCCCCTAAAGCAATGATCACAGCCATAATAGGGTTTATTCTTCAAGCACTTTATTCTTCCCAGCAATTTACAAAGCGACTGGAATTTCAAAATAATCGCCAAGTCCATAAATGACATGGAGGCATCACAAGCTGGACTGAGGGCAACGATCAGTTGTTTAAATATTAGCACGGAAGACGTCACAATCAAAGTAATTCTTTGAAAATGAGTTTTAATAAGAGGTCTTTTCACAGTTTCCTTGTACCCCGCTGTCTGGCTAAAGGAGCTCCGTCTTGTTCACAATTTAAAAGGGCTAAATTATGGATGTCTCATCGCTGTGGTTATATAAATGACCTCCGCTGCTCGCTCGCTCACTCTCACACCCTCTCTTCCCTTTCACACACTCACTCCCTCTCCAACCTCCTCTCTGCCTCTCCATCACTACCTCTCTCGCCGTCTCTCAGAGGACTGTACATTGTGTACCGGGACTCTTCAGCCATAGGGTTAGTAATGATACTGCGGGTTAAACAACTTAAATATCACTTGTGTTTTTAATGTAGCTAATGTGTTCGAGCTGAACAGGAGACAATACATCCGTCAGAAAAGGAGGTTTAAATTTAAAAAAAGATTTACTCTGTCTTCTTAGGAAGTAAACATCAACAATTTGCTTTCTTTAAGAGAATTAGAGTCAGGACTGGGTTAGCCTAGCTTAGCATAAAGACCCCAGCTAGCCTGGCTCTGTCCAAAGTATATTAGTATGTTATAAAGTTAATTAATTAAGTCCAGTTAACAGTAAGTTCTATGTAACACACAGATATGCAGAAGACTGATATTGATTGAGCTTCTCATCTCACTGTCGGAAATAAAGAAGTAAATAGATTTCTCAAAACATGGAAGGCGACCCGCTGCATCTACACCTTTGACAGTAAATATAACGGACAGAGCTTTAGGGTCTGTGAAGTGAAGCCAAACCATGATGCCAAACTCGAAGCTGGTGTCACGATAGGTTGACACTTGCAGTCATGAGGTCAATATTTTACACACATGTTGTGCAGAGCTGCGTCATTTTAAGTGCATCAATTTCATGCATTTATCCCAAACCAGGGGCATGTGTAAACAATGCATACACACATAAACCATGCATAAGCCATTTCCCCATACATTAACAGCTAACAGAGGATGCACACCTCAGACATTCTGTGAAATTGCACTACTTTTTTCCATTCTTCTCATTCACTCTCCTCATCTAATGAATGCTGGAGCAGCAGAGGTATT